CGATTGCAGGTAATCCTCAAAAGCTGCAGCAGCGTCTGACTTGTTTCGTAGGAGAGAGATATGCGTAAATCCAATCCACTTCAGAGCGAGGAAGTAATGATTACCGTGGATACTTCTCTGCATTGGGCCAGCGAGATCTGCGTGGCACACCTCGTCTTTGGAGAGTTGAGGGCGAGTTGCTTTCTTGGGCGCAGAGCGAGCCGTTACCTTGCTTAATGCACACGCCTCGCATTTGTCGTTAAGTACACGAGAGCCAACTATTTTTAGACCCTTCACCTTGCCCGAGTTCTCCAGTTCCAGGATAGAGTTGTAGTTTAGGTGAGCGAGTCGCTGATGCCAGTGCCTTAAGTCCTTTTTGCTGTATTTCGGCGCTTGGGCGACCAGTGCAGATGCTGCCGCCGACCGGCTGGTGCCTCCTTGCAGCTCGTAAATACCACCTCGAACCACTCCAGAGAAGAGCAGTCTCCCGAATACTTCACACTTGTGCCCACTGAAGCTTACGTGCATGCCGTCTTTAAACAATGCCGCCACTGAGATGAGTGTGCGGGTTATTCCTGGCACGACTACGACATCGTGGAGAACGGTGCCGTTGTCCAGTCGCAGGCTGCCACGTGCGGTTGCAATTAATGTGCGCTCGTCCGCCACCTGGATAACGTGTTCGCCGCACGGTTCGGCGTCGTGAATGTCCGCGCAGAGGAATTTCCATATCTCAGTGATTATCACTGATATTTTAGTTTAGATGGGGTTAATTGCCAGTCCACGACATTAATCAGTAGACGAGTAGTAATAGCATTTCAAGAATAAAATAGTAATGAATTGTTATTATCCTACTTAAAGCGTAATACAGTATTACATTCGACAAGGAGTCTCGAGTTAGAAGTGTTGTGCGATGAAGTGTTTTTTTTAGCTATACACAAGCTTAAAATACATGAAAAAAGAAACGATCGGATTGTAATGGTCTGACCCTCTCCTCGCTGCCCTTGGTCTCCTCGTCTAGTATGACCTCGTGCACCTCCCACCACCCGACCTTGTCGAGTTGTCTTTTTAGGTGCTGCACCTTGCTCGACAGGCGGCTGGCTTTTTTTCTGCGTGCGGCTTGAGCTGCAACCGCCTTCGGACCGCAACCACTTTTGCGCTCGAGGTGGCCCTTTAGCTTGGTGCACGAGCTGAATGTAACGGCACCTCCAGCAAGTCTTGGTCTTCCTCGTCTTTGGACGTCCTGGCTTCTTCTTCGATACACGGCGCAAAACTGGGGGCCATTGCAGGAAGTAGAGAAAATGAAACTGTTAGCAGTTGAATACAATACATGCACACGTATATTAATTTAGCTTTTAACCAACTTCACTGTTGGCTTCCCTGATCATTGCGATATGTATATACTAATATAAGTACATGCATACTACTATCACTGACCTCAGTGATTGTAACGTTACTTACTATTTTCTGTAATCTCAGTGATAATCACTGAGATATGGAAATTTCTCTGTCCGCGCAGCTTCCCATGTGAAAAGACGCACCTGAGTCGATCACAGGGGCA